CACAGGGGAACAGAATACACTCTCTTAGCTCAAGCAGATAACAGGTACTACTTATTAAGTTTTTTCTGATTTTTGTTTGCATTTTAGAGAATTTTGTCTCCTCATTTCTACCAAACATAATATTCAATAACATGTACACTGAAATCTCATAAGTAAATTGGATATTAAGAAAAGTAATATCAAAAAAAAAGACTTATTAAAAAATGAGTCATCTTGTGCATTTGGTACAGATATAAAACAAGACTTTCTTTCTGGTCCTCGGTATCAGAATATGAAACAAGACAGTTTGCACAGTGAGTTATGCAGCCCTTGGAATAACATCAAGAACAATTATGACTTCAAAAAATTTAGAGTGTGGAGAAATTACAGTCACTACCCTGCAGAAGAACAAGGCTTGTGGATTTACAGGTTCCATTTGAAAGTAAAATAGGTCCCGGAAAAAAGATCTCCTCTACCGAACACACACACAAGCACCAAATCCCGACAGCAGCGCTCACAAGCCGCAGTTACTGCACAGCTACCCTGGCAGGGAATGGCACAGCAAGGAAAGGGAAACGTCTGGAATGGGGCACACAGCGGAATAAACTGTGCAAAACTTGCTCAAAAGGAAAACAGAGATTCTCAAATGTTTATTGCAGCATCCACGTTAAGATATAAAATAGTTTCATAATATGAAAGATCCACATTAAATTCATAATTCAGATTACATTCAACTTATATATAYAGAACTGATGAACTGACAAAGAGTAAAATGGCATAACTCAATCCTGAGAAATAGGTTATTTCATTGAATTTACGGGGACTTATCCCACAGCTAATTAGAAACGTTAAGCCTTAAATCTATGTAATTTGATGAGAAACATACAATATCCCCTGCAGGAAGCCTAAGAGCACAACTCAGCTCTCCGTGGCTTCAGTAGTCAACATCACCTACTCTCCTGGTCCCACCAAGGATGACCAAGATGACCAAGGAGAAGTAGTTAAGTTACTACAAGTAACTTCTTGAGTAGAAGCTGGTTTCCCAAGATGTTTTTAACTCTGCTCTCCTCTCCTTTCTGATTTCTGACTCCCTTCTCTGCCAAATTACCTTCTCTTCTGAGAAAAGTAGAATATTTTTGAAAGGAGTTTGGATGAAGAAGGACAAGAAAGACTTTATCTGATCCCTGACAAAATCTTGTGCTCCAGCAGTTGCTGTTTATTGGCCCCACAAATGTCAGACTAAGCAGAAGAGTCTCTAATGCACAGTATGTATATTGCCATACACAGAAGCTACAAAAAAACAGCAGATTATGAGAACTGTGCATTACATTAATGACTGTTTGAAATTCCCTTTCAAAAACAAAAGCTATTTTGTTTCTGACCTACACGACGCTCCTTTCATAGTTRTATAATCCATATTTGTGAAGAAATATAAAACAGCATTCTTCAGAATGCCATGTAATTTTCAGACATGCCTAGAATTCAAATGCTTTCTTCTAACACATTATAAACAACCAGAAAAATAAATTCTTTTGGTATTTCAAACTGAATGGCTGCCTACTTTCCAGAGCAAGGGAAAAAAAAGGGTTTCATAGCTCATTTAATTTCTTCCTGAAACAGAATCCTAGAGTTATCTTCAAATCTGCTATGTTGAATAAACCACAGTAGATTTAGAAAACCTTCAGTTTAGATTTAACTTTAATATATCACACATCAGASTGAACATTAAATAATTTTAAAATAAATCTTATAGACGACATCTAATAAGAAAAGAAAGATCCACTATGAGTTAGTCCCCAGATGAGCATTTCAAGAGATAATCATGGTCAAAAGCATTTACTATGTATYTACAGCACTCTTTCCACTGACTGTTATTCATTTCTGTAGGATTGCATTACTGCTTTATGAGGACTTAGCTTCCTCACCTTACAGACTACGCTGCCTGYTCAGCAGGACTGCTCCTTTTTTAAGATTCCTCCTTCTACAACGAGATCAAAGCCTCTACCCTCAAAGGCCCATCCGAGTGAGAACAAGCCAGGACAACASTCCCCTCGCTACCCCAAAAAGTGTGACAAACTGCAACACCGATGACACCGTAACAGTGTCAGACTGATACAGAGCTCGGGCAAAAGGGTCGTCAATTCTAGGGGGAACAAGACCTCCGAAATCAAGGATTAGGTCTTCATGCCACTGAGTAAGTTTTCACTTTTAGAATTTATTTTTTTTCATAGTCCTTTAATAATTCTCTCACTTCTCTGTCACATTACTTCACAGTATCACCTTTATTTTGTCAATATGACAACRGTGGAAGCTGGATTGCAAGCTTCTCTATAAGGCAGCATTTTACCACTTCTAAAAGACAGTCCTGGATTACAACGTAACCTCATTTCAGAAACATTCCAAACCCTCTCTCATGGTTGATGCACACGTTTTATTGCACACCAGGCCGTAACTACTTCYATATCTTTTGCATTTCTCTTTAGCAGGGATGCAAATGCTATATTTACATTCTTTTGTGCTTCAAGTAAGCAATATACTCTCKACTTCCTCACCTCAGCGCTTGTTATTTGGGCACTGACTTCTCAGCAGGACCTTTTCTTCTATGCTGTTCCTAACTAAAACAAGTTTATTGCCCTYTCTGTGGAAAAATAACATTTTTTCAAGCTTTTATATAATCAACAATGTGTATTTACAGTACCTATACTCATTCTGGTATCTGTTGTTCCCATCAAAATACCCACAAAGACCAGAATAAAAACTTAGCAATGAGGAGGACAAAGTCACATCTCTTCATCACTCTATTTCTCTTCCTAGTTTCATGTGTCTGGGAAAATTACAGTGAAATATTGTTTAATGGAATAATGTGTCCCTTCTAAATATTCCATTTGGGATTTAATTCCTTTCATTAGKATTTCTTATTTAATATGATCTCTGACTGCCAGTTCTAATCTTATGCAAAAAAGAAAACCTGTTCAGTGAAGTTTTTCCCTACACAATTCATGACTGAAAGGCCCCAAAGCCACTGTTTTCACGTATATTCACTTCATTAAAGTGTACATCACCATAAAATGCTTCTGACATTTTTAACTTGTATATTTTTATTCACCTTCTTTCTATGAACTTCACAAGGACAGAGCAGCAATATGGAAAGTAACCATCTAATCCAACTGGACGGCTCTTTATTGAAGTCTTATTACTTCCATATGTAGAAACTGCAGCCAACTGCAATCCCCACGTTTTTGGCATTGTTAATATACATTGTATCCAGTAAATATGAATTTCACTTTTCCTTTTTATTTTTACTACACAGTAATATCAGACATATAGGCTTTACTTGATCACTAGGGGAATACATGTTGTAACTGTCTWAAAAAAAGCAACATCTATATTATGCCTAAAGCAATATTCTTCTTTAAAAACATTTTATGTATTCCAATCTCTTTTACAGTATGGATATTCTTTAAAATAACTATTATTAGAAGCTGAATAAAGTTAAGAATGATAAAATCTTGTAGACGGTAATGGCAATATAGTTATAATATGGAATCRAGAGACCAAATTTATATAAAAGAAATTCAGTGCCAAAAATCTATATTTGGATTTCTGAAGTAATCATTACGGCAAACTAATATTTTTCAAGATACAATTCCATTTTTTTTAACAAAATACGTTATCATCATATGTTATAAAACTACATGTTATCATCACAAAACAGATGCTTTAAATATACACAGAAAGAAACAGCCCTTTTAAGTCACTTTACATTTTGTTGTCTAAATCAATGATATTTGTCAAGATACATATAGATAATAATCCCAGCATAGATCAGATGTTAAATATCTTTCTTAGCACAAATCTGAAAAGATTAAAATCTCAGTTTATAARCTCAGTAATATATTGATACCATGTATGCAATAAACCTTCCAAGAGTACCCATTAATAGKTTTTTTCCTTGAACTTCCTTTTATCTCTCTGTATATGCTTGGGGTTTGGTTTCTTTGTGTATGTGTGTGATATAATAGGAAGATAATATTTGCCTTTTTAAAAACAAAATTTTCATAGTCAAAACCTTCAAAGAGTAATATTCAAATTAATACAGTTGTCTTACACTTGTTTCACAGTTTTTAAGAAACAACTTTCCTATCCTTTCTGCATATTTAAAATAACATTAGTAACCAAAGAAATTAACTCTTTTCTACAAATAATAAACAAATAATAAACAAATCAACCTTCAACTACTGTTTTTATGTATCATTTTTGCAAATTTTAGAACCACCTTGTTCTCTGATTTATAATAAGACTACTGTGATAATAACTCGAAATAGCAACCAGGTAGCACCAGATAAAATTAACCTTGAAATCCTGTATAAATCAGCATTGCTCACATGCCCAGGAAACAAAGCAAGTTAATGGGAAGAATCTCTGCAAGCGCAGACACAAGACGCAGCACAAGGGCTTGCACTGAGCCTGTTTCTACAGGCAACTGGTAACGACGAACACCATGAACATCGGCCCTTCACAGCTCTTCTGRGCACCCTGCTGGGTATGCTGCAAAAAGCCCACGAGCAACTTCCCCAGCTTGCTTTCCTGGGGTCTCCAAAGCCCAAATTTAACACTATACTGTGTTGGTGGGAATTTTTTGTTGTTGTTTTTTTAAACACTCATTCCAAGCTTCAGCAATCCCAAAGAAAAAAAATATTTTSGATAAAATATGATAAAGGTTAGAAAAAAAAGGAAATTAAGAATGGACTACATGGGAAGGTATTTCTACCACATCTGTCAGCACATCCTACCTGATTTTTAGGAAGATAAATTTTCTATCTTAGTAGCTGCTTAATACGTAGGCACCCACTTTCTCAGCTTTCCAGATAAAGCAATGTAAACACACAGAAAATTAATTTAATAAAATTTAAATGAAACTAAAAAATATGATAACTTCAGTTTTTAATATAGTGATAAATATATTTTCTATAGACAAACATGGTCAAGTATGCATGTTTAGAATACATATAAGCTGTTACCTGAACTGTGGAACTGATTTCAGATGCAAACCCTCCTGTCAAAGGCGCCTCATGGCTAATCAGCAATCGCCCAGTCTTCACCACTGACTGAAAAGGAAAACAAAACCCAAAAATGTAAACAAGTTGCAATTTTTGAGACTTATTTGCTTTACAAAATAGAATATATTAATTATGTAATATTGCTACTGGTGTTAAAATGTAGTCACTTTTGCATTTTTTTTTGCAATGATGAATGGACCTAAAAATCTAAATTGAAAAGTTAATTAGAATCTTTTCTATATTTACTAAACAAATTCTGTTTACCTGTCAGTATTAAGCAAATATCAAGAATATATTCCACTACATTTTAATTTACCCYACCAAAGTAACATTTCCGAAGGATATTAAGGATCTTAACAATACCCCACTATGAATCTGATTCTGCAGATATTAATAGCACACGTGCACAGAAATCCTTCACTGAAATACTGGCTTGCATGACCAGATAAAGTTCACAATCCTCGATAAAACGCCCAATCCGCAGGTGTTCAAAGATATGCATACTAAATAAAATTCTAACAAGCACACAGATCATGTGGATTCATCTTAACATCCAAGTGTTTTACTGGCTATTACAAAGAACATTTTAATGAAAAACTACACAAAAATAGCAGAATTAATAGGACCCACAYAGTTACATAGGACAATAGTACAGAATGAGCTATGAAATATTTTTTAATAAGCAAGGAAAAATATTTTTAACCTGAGAGTGCAATGCTTCGATATATCTATTACCTTGGAGTTTATTGCAACTAGAAGGTGTAGAATGGAGCTACATAGATACCTTTGGCCAGAAATCTAACAGTCAAGTCTCACTCTTCTTGATATGTTTCATCCTTTCATAAGGTGTGTATAAAAATTCTATTAATTTTTAGAGATTGAGAGRTTTTTAGAGATAATAGAACAAAAAGCCACCCAAAGAACCTGTCCATTGGTCTATCCAAACCAGCTATAGCCACATTTTCAGCATGCAGCATACTGTCCACGTGCCATTACTCATCAAATGGAGAAGCCCAGGACAGTGCTAGCTAACAGSTCAACCTTTCCTAATTCTATCTGCACCAACTGCTTCTCCAATAAAGCAGCTCCACGTTATCCACACAATAGAATACATAAAAATTACTTATTAACAAGACTGGTTTCATTCTTRTTGACACCCTTTTAAAATTCTTTAGCTTCCCAAGCAGTGCCTTAACAGCTTTAAATAGCTGGACCACAGCGGCRCTACTGCCAACTAATAGGCCTATTAACCACACCGTGTGCTGAAGCAGCTTAAAAATATTCAGGGAAACAAGGCAGGAAAAGTCATTTGAACAGCTATAAAGTAATACACAGCTTTAGAAACTCATTTCTTGAATTTCTCTTGCCTGCACTTGAAACTCATTAAAGAGAGTAGACATTAACAGTACTCTGTCAAATATACCGAAAGACAACAATTTTAAATTGATATGATAAAACTAGCATGAGGATTTAAAATCTTTGCATTCTATTTTACACAAAGACATTTCTTCTTTCACATACTCATTTGTTCTGAAACATTTTTGTCTTGTTTTGAAACATTACAAGTTACCTTCAAAATTACAAGTTTGATTTTTTTGAGTGTAATAGTAAAAAATACGGACACTGTTGGGAACATACGTAACAAAAGTTACAAAAGGTCAGACCAAAAATCTAACAGCCTAGTACCCTGTCTTCAAAAAGGAGATAAATAGATATTTAGAAAAGAGTAAGATTAGGGGTTTTGCTATGTGCTTAGACTGCTTTGTGGCATCCAACTGTTTTCACATCAGCAGACTTCGTAAGCTCAGTAGGGCTTGTCACTTTCTCGGTAATTAATAACTTTTCTTTGACAAAAGTGTCTGTTCTTCCCACTTAAATTCATACAGGAAACCCCCTTCAAGCAGCCCATATTTTTACACCTGATCCAAGGACTTCCAAGATTTGTTGCCTATGTGATGTTAGCAGTGTGTTAGCAGCTGTGTTGACACATGCATACATACAGGCCGCTCAGCCCTGCTAAAAACCACTATACATTACCCTGGTAATACAGCTAGCACAGCTTGGGTGCTTTTAGTACCCACACRGCTTGCTCAGAGCCCGTCTGGGTACCACAGAAAAATACCCTGCCTTAAGGTATTTAAATACCTTAAATATCCTGCTGATTGTTAAACCAGAATTAAAATGAGTATAGGCTAGCTACCACGCTGTATCACAAATGAGTTCTGTACTTCTGGGACAGATGTGAGTATTGTGGTCCTTGTGTATGACACCCTGCATTCATTTCTGCTTCGTAGTCTCTCTTTTCTGTTCAGAACTTGTTTGTGAACTACAGTACATTTTTTAGGAAGACATGCAATGTTAATTAATACCGCATTTGCAGTGAATGCACCACAGCTATGGGTAAGTTGTTCCAATGTTTAACTACCACCCTTGTTAAAATTTTGCATTTTATTCTTTAAACTGAATTCGTATAACTTTGAACTTAAGCTGTTGGCTCTTATTTTACTTGTTTGCTAGGTGAAGAAGCTATCTATTATCACATTTCTGCTGCCCACAAGAATATGTAAAACCTGCTCCCTTAAGGAAAAATGCTCCCTTAAGGATGATTTTGCTAGCTAAGCAGACCGAGCTCATCAGGTCTTTCATCACAGAGCACGCTGCCAACCCCTCCATGATTCTTACAGCCCTTCTCTGAACCACCTCCARTTTTCAATGTCTTTTTTGAAGTATSTCCATYTAGAAGATCAGCACTGCAGTCATTTTCGGAACAATGCCAAGCACAGAGATAATGTAACCTCTGCACTCAATTCAGTACTGCTGTGTTGATGTAGTTCTTGGACCTATCAGGCCATTTGGCCCAAGCAAAACAACATGAGTTAAGTTTCAAGCAATGATTATGATTCCTAATTTGGGGGATAGAGGAAGGTTTAGGGTTTGGGTTTTTTTTTTTTTTTTTTTTGCCTTTTGTTTGTTTTTTAAATAATCATTTCTTCCTGGAATAATGCTGAAAATACAGTCCACAATCATCATTTCAAGACACACAGTTACATTTGGGCATGCTGAAAAGTATATTGCTTGCCTGAATGCAGCTCAGTAAATGAATCTACCTTCACAAGCCAGTTTTATTTATATCTCCAACTGCTATTTCCAACTTTTTAACAGTCTTTTTTATGTAACTTTGATAAAAATATTAAGCAACAAAGGTTAAAAAGCAGATGCTTCAGGACCTCAGTGACCTTACTATTTGCATTCACTAACATTTTTATTTTTGTTCTTCTAAGCTTTACATGGCATGGACTGTACTAATGTAAAGGACATGGACTTGGATTCTTTCTTTTGCTTCATTTTCTGATTCATACTACCAGCTATTAACTTACTTTCTTACCAGATTTTTAGTTTATTCTCTTTAAATCACTGTTAATCCTTGGAAATTGAGTAACTGGTTAAAAAGAAGGGAGAGTTTCAAAAATAACTGTTACACAAACTACAGGGAAAAATAAGCATTGTTCCTGATTACTTGCAGATATCTCTTCTACAAAACAAATTTCCTATTTAAAATAATCTATCAAACATTTTTCCCTTTCAAATCAAATGTATCAAACATTCCATCTCTACGATAACTGAACCCCAGCATACAGAAGATCACCACAGTCCAAGCATCTCATCGAACTGCTGCTGGCAGCTTTAGCAACAGGAACCTGACTTTACRAAGTTAAGGGAAACAGCCACGGAACTGGAGAAAATGCAGTAGTTAAGTCAGCAGAGTGTAACGTATTGCRCATTATGGACTATTCTATCATGTCTTGAAAGGGTCAGTTGGAATGTTTTTGTGTTTGCTTTTTTCTTTTTTCCCATTTGGTTTCAATATTTTGTTCCTCACAACCAAGCACTTGCTGCATTTGTGTACGGGTTGGGGTCTCTGCTGCCTTCAAACCATCCCCTGTTTTTCAAGGCCTCAAGCTTCACACTCAGCCCTCCTCTGATCCAAACGCTTAGAAACATGTCCACATTGCAGTACTTATGAAAAATGTATCCAAGAAGATCACAGTATGGGTACAGGAGCCGGTGCACACACTTCCTCCCTTCAATGCGGAACCATGGCAGTTGCTTGCTGAACACTGACCAGAACCCAGAGACCACGAGTGCCAGCCCGGGCTGTGAGGCGAGGCCCTCTCCTCACAGACGCTCCTCGTGAGGACATGTCCTCTCCTCACAACTTCTCCTCACAGGCCATGCCCTCTCGTCACAGCCCCTCCTCTCAGCCATGTCCTCTCCCCACATCCCCTCCTCATGAGGCCATGCCCTCTCCCCACAGCCCCTCCTCCTGAGGCCATGTCCTCTCCTCACAGCCCCTCCTCATGAGGCCATGTCCTCTCCTCACAGCCCCTCCTCCTGAGGCCATGTCCTCTCCTCACAGCCCCTCCTCGAGGCCATATCCTCTCCTCGCATCCTCTCCTCAGCGCTGGCCATCGCCAGCGCAGTCTGCAGGGAGTGGCAGAAGCAGCCGGGTCGCCCCGTGCCCTGCGGCTGGATCCACCGCCATCAGCTCGGCTGCTCCGACGCTCTCCCGCCTCCTGCCCTTGCCCGCCATCTCCTCCATCACCTCCAACACCATGGAGCGGGCCTGCCCAAGGAGATAACCTGGCTGGGGCTGCAGCCGTGCCCGTTATCGCGATCCCGCCACAGGGACAGGGCAGACAGGGCCCACCCCTCCAAAGGGATGGTGGGAGCTCGGGAAAAGCCCTTGCAAGGGACAAGGGAGCCCAAGTCACAAGACACCACATGCCAGCGCCCCGTCAATCCCCACCTCTGCTCTATCTAGTCACTACAGCAGGCGCTTCAGCCACTTTCAGTTACTAAAATAATCCCAGGGCAAGACCAAAGGCAGACACTGAATGTATTTTTTCGCCTCCATTTCCCTCTGAGTTGGTTTATCTTGGTGTAATGCACAGCTACAATTTATGTTTTGCCAGAGCAACCTTTTAGTGGCAGGATCACCCTGATAAGTAAATTCTGCAGAGATGCCCCCATGTCTCTGCACAACCAGC